GGAAGCCGGGCGGCTGGGACAGGGCACTGTGTGGGGAGGTGCCGCGACCTGAGCTGTTGGCGGCATTATTTAACTTAGAGAAGGGGTGCAGGGGCGTCAGCACCACATCCTCCTGGACAGCGGACCCTCCGCTTCCGGTTCCTGGGTGCAGGTTCCGCTTGTGTCCCCGTCCTGTAGTTCCGTGCATGTAGGGCGGGGAGGGCAAGACTTTGGTTCCGGAAGCAGCTGGGGGTCAGAGTTCTCCGCACCTGTTTTGGCTTCGTGACATGGGTTTTGTTCTGTTGTCTCTGAAAAGCAACTCAGTGTCTCCATAAGCGGGACAGGGCCATTTTGAGGTGGTTCTGAGGTTACACAGCTCTCTCTCCTTCTTACCCCTTCGCTTTGTTTTTAAACCATGTCTCTTGTCTGTACCCACAGTGTGGAATTTGCAGATGGCATCGCCACGGTGTTTGCATTTCGTGTACATTGGTAGTTCTATAGAGAAGTGTGATTGGACTCAGGTCCTCCTTTTGTTTGGAAGGAATACGTCAGAGATGGTGGGTGTATTTCCAGAGGAGCACAGTGTCTGCTTGTGTCCTGCTAGCCGCAAACGGTCATTGCTGGGGCTCACCGATTGCTTATGTCTGAGGAATAACATTTACATTATAGTGTCCCATGAATACACAGTAGACTGAAGCACTGAGAACCGTAATTGCTTGAACGTGGTATAAAACTGGAATGGAAAGCTCACGTGCGTGATTTAATGCTTAGATGCGAAGCATTCCTTTGCTGTCCTTGTCCACTAAGATGTTGTGCAGTAACTTCGCTGCACATTCTAATTGCTTGTCTCCCTCACCCTCCAGCGAGAATGGGAGTTAGTTCCATTTTCATCCTTGACCTGGAAATATTTGTTGCTACTCCTGTAAATTCGGGTCTCGTGGAATCTGTGCCCCACAGCTTAGCCGTGGTATGACCTCCCCGCCCCAAGTTGACTCCCAGGTAGAGAAATGTGGCAGGGAAACCGCCACACAGGCTCCTGTGGGGCCAGATGAGGTCACCAAATGCGATAGGCTTATCAAGGTCTTCACACAGTGCCCAACTCGACAGTCAATATTGTACATTAGAGATGCCATGCTCTCCAGAGCTTAACCCTGTTAAATGGAGGAGAGCCTAGAGTAGAGAATGGAGAGTCACTCTGGCTATATCCCTTGAGTAGGCCACTGGGAATAGTACCGATGAATCATATGTGCTGATTGTAAATGGCACACCACGTCCTCCTAGCAGAGCTGGCCATCTGTGGGTGTGCGTTGGAAGCTCAGCACCAAAGTGGGAGCGGCCAGCAGCTCCCTGAAGGACTGTCACTCCAGAAAAAAAGAACAGGGTTGTGGGGCTGGAGCTGCAAAATCTCATGAAAGCTGCTTCCTGGGGGTGGGACCAGCCTGCTGCTCCAGTGGCGAGGGAGGGGGTGCCAGCCAGTAGAGGCAGTCAGTCCACCATCACAATACTTTCCCCATGAGCGAGCGTCATCTGAGGTCACCCCTTAATGCCCCAGTTCACAGAGAAGGCATGATGTTAGGTTCTTGACTTGGATTATTTGATCTCATCCTCCCAACAACCCTGGAAGGCAGAACTGAATGTGGCATCGTGAGTCCGAGCCCACAGCAAGGACAGCAGGAGCCCCCCAGGCAGTTACCCAGGCCCTGGGCCTGGGCTGTGGGATGGGCAACACCCAGGGGCTCTGGTGGCAGGGAGGAGGTTTGGCCACTGGCTGTTTAGCTGCCAGTCGGCTCTGTAGAGGCCTTTCCTGCCAGCCAGCAGGGTCAGGGCCCTCCCCTACCTAGAGGTTCTCTTCTGGAAAGAGCGCTGGTCTTTGGCCCAGAGGACATGAGGTCAGGGTGAAGGTCAGAGTGCCCTCTGGTGAAGATGGCCCCCAGCTCGCTTCCCCCTTCCCTCTGTCACCTGCAGCAGGAGACTGGGCATCCGCTGGGCAGGCGCTGGTGGGCTCCAGAAACAGGCCCAGCGTTTCCCCGGTGAAAAGATCCAGCCACGTCAACCCTGTGGGCAAGAATTCCCCATGAGCTTCAGTCCCCACCCCACAGCTCTGCGAGGCTTTGTGCAGCCCTGAGCTAACTAGCTGACCCTCTGACATGAGAGACTAAAGCCAGCACACAGGACAAAGCCACTCAGACAAACCCAGCTAGCCAGCGAGCTGAGCATGGCTGCAGGAACACCACAACCCACCCACTGGTCTCCCTATGTCCACAACCACATGGGCCTGGATGCTATAATGCCGGGCACCCCGTGTCCAGACCAGCCTTCTTGGGGTGACCAGAGGAACCAGGGACCCACAGGCAAGTTCCCCTGATGTGTGGGGTCCCTGGGGGAGCAGCACCAGCATCACCCTGGGCTTGGCAGGAGACGCCCCAGGCCCCACCTAGACCTATTGGATCCGACCGGCCCAGAAACCCGTTTCCACAAGCCTCCCAGTGACTGCTGCGCGGCTGGCATTTGAGAGCCGCTCATCACCCTCCGCCCTTCTCCTGGCGATCTTCACACTCTCTCTTCTCACTTCCAGTCCCCACACCTCCTCCTCCATCTTCCCTCAGCAGATGCTGCCCCGCTGACAACACTGAAGAAATCAGACTTCCACCGCACCCACCCCCTCTCTGCGCCCACAGCGTCTGCGCCCACCCCCCTCTGCGCCCACAGCGTCTGCGCCCATCTGTGAGCCAGAGACGTGGAAGGCAGGCTCCCAGCTCCGCGCCCGGCTGGTCTGGGCCTGGGCACCAGCTCCCCCTCCTCTTCCCCCTTTCTGTGCCCTGTCACATTTCAAACACTGCCCTTCGGGTCCTGCCCATGGATTCACAAATGCGCTGTTAATTTTTTGAACTTAAAAAAAGTATATTCTTGATCCTCTTTCTCTCGCATGGCCAGTTCTTTCCTCTCCGGAAGAGCCGATCACTCTTCTCCCCGACCCCTCTTCCTCCCTCACGGCTTCCAGGAGAGCACAGCCCCGCCCCAGGGGCTGCCTTCCTCTCCTCTCAGCCCCCTAATGCTGCCGGGCTGTCTGTGGCCCCTTCCTTGTTGTGCACCCTCACTGCCCAGAGCGCTTCAAAGACATCAATATGCAATCCACTCCAAAATGACACGTGCCTGACCCTGACCCTGGCCCACACCACGTCCCCTCCACCGTGGGGGCCTGAGCCACAGCGGCCGGTGAGCGGTCACTGGGCCGCACACTGCGCACTGCTGACACCAGTGGGAAGGAAGGAGGTGTCAGTCCTCCTGGCCAGGGGCAAACCTGTAAGTATAAGCTCCTCGTTTATTCTGCACTTTACCTGTCCCTCACGTGTTAGCCCGAAACAAGCCCTTGTCACACATGGAGGACTCGCAGGTGACGACCAAGCATCACCCTCATTGCTTGGGGACATGTGGCCAGGATGCGCCCCTCTGGCTGGGACACCCTGTCCTGGGGCCTGGGGGGTGAGTCCTGTGCAGCCCCTGGGGCCTCCCCGGGCCACGCTCCTGTCATGGCCTCACAGGGGGTGAGGGTGCAGGACCCTGGGAGCGGCCGTGCGTGGATGGGGGCAGGGAGCAGGTTGTCTGGTTGGGCTCAGCTCACTCATGACGCATGTCCTCCAGGTGACAGGGCGCTGGCCGCCCAGGAAGCCCTTTAAAAACAACCCTGAGGCCTTGTGTCCCGGGAAGTCACCAGCCCCAAGCGAGGGAACAGTCATGACTTGGAAACAGCGTGTGTGGCGAAGGCTCCTGTGCCGTCATTCCCATCAGGCCAGCCCGGCGGCGCTCAGCAGCGCTATGATTCCCCGCGACCGCCTTCCGCACGGACTCCTTCATGAGGGCGCAGAGGGGCTGCTGGCGTCCAGACCAGGACCAGACCTCGGAGGCCTCGCGTGTCCCCCTGACCCCGCCTCAGCTCGCAAGGTGAGACGTTCCAGACCAGCCGTCCCAGGAGGGAAGCCCTACACTGAAGCCCGCGGGGCAGGACTGGGGCAGGTACGCTCACCCAGGGCAGCACCCGTTTTACACAAACGTGTGCCAGGCTCTCGCTGGATCATGTTTCCCGTGTGGTTAAGTGAAGACCAGTCCTTTCACGTGTCATCACCGTGACCCTGTCATCACCCAAACTGGTCAAAGCACAAGAACGTACTGATCCGAGTGGATGCCTCGATCACGGGCCAGGTGTGATGTATTTAATCGCAGGGACACGGAACAGAGACCTGCCTGCCGGTCGCCTTCTGGAACTTTATTCACTGAACTTCAAGCCACACACACAACGCGGATGGACAGGGGAGCCGTCTGCTTTAGTAACACTCTGAGCCTAGGACTGCCAACACTCAGGGCCCTGACGCACAGTGGTCACAGGAAGGTTCACCTGGACGGCCGCCTTCCTGAAACCACTCCGCTGAGGACCGGCCCGGAGAGCGAGGCGCCCGGCTTCTCAAACCACCAGGGCGAGCCCGGGCCGGTGGCTCAGTGGTTGGAGCGTCAGCCCTGTACACCCAAAAGCTGCGGGTTCGAGTCCTCGTCAGGGCACGTGTGGGAGGCACTCTCTCCTCTCCTCTCTCTCTCTAAAACCAGAAAAACATATCCCAGGTGAGGATTTAAAGAAAATTAAAAAACGACGATAACAAAAAACACTGAGGTGAGCACAAAACCCTCGTGGGAAGGCCGAGCCCATATCTGCTCAGCCTCTAGGTCCTGGAGCCCTGCCCACCTGCCACGTGAGGCAGCGAGGCAGCGCGGGTGCGAGCACTGGTGTCACCGGCCTCTGCCTGAGGCTCCCGCTGGGAAGTGATTTACAGGGAAGGGGCTGCCGCGTGTCCCGTGGGCCAGCTCTGCTCGAGGGACAGGGGCTTTCTGCTGAGCACAGCTGGTACCTACACAACAAACACCAAGAGACATGCAGACGCTGCGAACGGGGTGAGCGCGGGCGTGGCCGCGGGGGTGCGTGACAGGCGGGACGGGAACAGCCACGGGGCTCCAGGTCCAGGTCACTGCACACAGCGCCCTGCCTGTCTGCTCTCCGCCTCCCCGCGGGATTCACAGCTGGTTCCCCACCAGGCACCGAGAAGTCTCATGGCTTTTGGTCCAAACGGGGCGCTTAGGAGTCTTTTTACATCTTTTTATCCGTCTGCGAAGAGCTGAGTTCAAACGCCGGGAACCGGGATGTCTCAGGAGCCAGGACGTCGGAGAGAAAGTGGATCGCGCCGGCCATGCCTGCAAGTCAAGGGGGTCCTTTACGAAGGGCCCGGGAGGGAACAGCCCCTGGACCCCTCCTTGTCAGGAGCCACCGAGGCAACAGTCACAAACAGCACACACGCTCACACATGTGCACACGCACTTGCACACGCATGTGCACGCATACACTCATACACACACATGCACACGCACACCCCAGGGCTCTCTGTAGAACTATTTTGCTTTCCCGGGTTCTACATACTGTGCCCGCAGCAGACGGTTAATATCGTTTTCTCACTTCCTGTCATTGCTCTTGATTTTCAGAACTTTCTTCGATATTCTCATAACTTTTTCCAACTACTAATATTTCTAGGTACTAATGTTCTTTAAATACTAATATTGATTAGTCACATTTGTTTATGTAACTGAAGTAATGAGATACATGTAAGTAGCTAACAGGACCTGTGACAGAGCAGCACGCGCACAACACCGCACAGGGGTGCAGAGGAGGAACTTAGCATGTCCTCGTTACCAAGCAGCAAGCGCCCTATGTTATGTCTGCATTTACTGCACAAGAGACCAAAACACGGGGAAGACATTCACAGGAGCACACAGCAGGAGACTCATGTAAACTTCAGCCGTGAACTCCTGTGTATGTGTGGCTGTGGGGTCATCGCTCGAGCAGGACTGGAGGCGTTGGTGCCAATCCCACGGAGATGGGGGCCCGATCACCCACACCTGGGGCCCCCTCACCTTCGAAGAGTGAATAGGGCCTGTCGGGGATGCGGCACCCGTGGGCGCCATAGTCCAGACACCACTCTGCAAACTAAGAAGAAGACAGTGCTTGTCAAGACTGAGAGTTCACTCGAGGAGGCAGCAAAGCAGACCCTCAATGACCTCCCCGAGCCATGGCCGGGAGGCTGCGCCCAGTGCAGAGGGTGGGCGTGGGCTGTGCAGAGGGCGGGGCGGGCTGTGCAGAGGGTGGGTGTGGCCTCTGCGTGGGGCCCAGGCCACGCCCTCTCAGCGGGGCGTCTGCCATAGGGACACCACCCAGGCTGAGACTGGATGGAAAGGAACCAGGAGGGGTTGCGGGGGGAGGGCACCCCGATGGGAACCAGCTGAGCAATTCAAAGGGAACACAGACACGCTCCTGCGTGGAGAGGGGCAGAGGCTGGAGGTGCAGCGTGGTGCCAGCGAGGGAGAGGAGAGGAGGGACGGGGCGAGGCCGGGCTCTGGGAACGGGGCTGTGGTCTGACTCCCCCGTGGCGCGGTGGACTGCGGCCAGGACCGCGGTGCCTGGGAAACGGAAGCCGGAGGAAAGGAGGGGGAGCTTCGCGTGGGCTCCGCCTGCAGTGTCCCGGCTGTTGGGACAGAGAGGCCTCACCTTGCAAGCGCGGTAGAGGTACTTCCTGTCCTGGGTGAGGTGGTACAGGGACAGGAAGGCGTAGCCATTGCCGGCCGTGCCGTGGCAGAGCCCGTAGCCCTTGCGCAGCAGGCCGCGCTGCCAGATGACGTCGCTGCACTCCATGGCGTCCTTCAGGTACTTGTCCTCCCTGAACACCTGGCAGGAGGCGCAGGGCAGTGGGAGGAGGGTTCTCAGTGGGAATCAGCGAGACACTGCCCTTCCCGGTTAGGAAACCACAGGACGCTCAGCAGCCTGACGGCCCTGGGGCAGACACCACCCCCTCTTCCTGATGGCCCTGGGGCAGACAGCACCCCCTCTTCCTGATGGCCCTGGGCAGACACCACCCCCTCTTCCTGACGGCCCTGGGGCAGACAGCACCCCCTCTTCCTGACGGCCCTGGGGCAGACAGCATCCCCTCTTCCTGACGGCCCTGGGGCAGACAGCACCCCCTCTTCCTGACGGCCCTGGGGCAGACAGCACCCCCTCTTCCTGACGGCCATGGGGCAGACAGCACCTGCCTCCTGACGGCCCTGGGGCAGACAGCACCCGCCTCCTGATGGCCCTGGGGCAGACAGCACCCCCTCTTCCTGACGGCCCTGGGGCAGACAGCACCCCCCACCCCTCCAGCAGCTCGGGGGACCACTGAGGAGCAGGGGGTGTGGACGGCACTGACCTTGTACGCCTGCATCAGCATGTGGATGACCCCCGAGGCCCCGTGGCACCAGTGGACCAGTCGGTCCGTTTCGTTGCTAAGAGACGACGGGTAGTTCCCGGAGCGGAAGCGCTTGTGGCGGACGTAGTCGATGCTGGGCTTCACCATCTCAGCCAGGGTTTCCTGGTCCACTTTTGCTGCTGGCTTTAAACAAACAAAACAAAACATTTAATCTATTTTTCTAAAGTTCCTTCTTTTCTTTTAAAAAACCTCTATCTTATGGCAACAAAGTACCAATTACCTGGAATACTGAGAAGCATATAAAATTAGAATCAATTCAATTATCAGGTTAATTAAGTCTAGGGCAGATCTTCCACCCATTTAAATACAAACCTCACCCAAAATACCTCACAGGAACATTCAGGATAACTGTGACCACATCTCTCGGCACCATGAGTATCACGTTAACGCATAAAGTTAGCACAGATAGCAGGCCTGTTTGTTTGTGTTTTTAATATATATATATATATATATTATTGATTTCAGAGAGGAAGGGAGAGGGAAGTCGGTCTCAGTCTGGTGTGTTGTTGCTTGTTTTATTCACACACTTACATATTTTTTCTCTTTCTATATATTGGTAATGATAAAGCTTAAAATGCTTACTCTATGAAATAGGCACACGTGAGGAATATACATAAAGGATTTATGTTTCAGAAACTGAAGTTGAAAACGTCTTCCACACCCTCAGATTCAGGCTATTCTGAAGGCCAGGCTGTCCCTCAGCTGTGAGCTGCCGCGGCTCACGAGAGTGATAATGGCCAAGCCCGTTTCTCAGCCAGGGCCGTGGACACGAGGCCGAGTGCTCCCGGGAGCTTTCCCGATGGGAAGGGCAACTCCTCCCACAGCAGCAGGACCCGCACGGAGTGTGGGCGGAGGCACCTGATCTGCACAGACACCTGCGGACTCAGCTCCCTGAGCTCACTGCTTGGTTGAGTGCAGCAAAGCTTAGGTGTCATGGTTCAAAGGACCCTGAGTGCAGCCTGCAGTTTGTGAGCCAAGTTTAGCTCTGTTTTCCTATCTGATCTACTGCTTGAAGTCTGGTTGCCGTGTCAGTATTCCAGGGCGTTCTCCCACCTGCATCAGCATGTAGTAGATCCCGGCCATGCCGTGGGCTGCCCCCACGTACTGCTTCCTGTGCCACTGGTATAGCAGGGGGCAGCGCTCAGCCTTCCTCTCCTCCCTCGACAGAGCCTTGCCCGACTCAATAATAGCAGTGACGACCTGCAGACATAAGGACACAGTTTATGTCTGAAAAACTTACATGTATCCTGTTTCAGTCTAGTACCACTAACAGTACGTCCTTAGATAGCTTCATCTAGAAATCTCTAGGCACTCAGCAGCCAGCACTGTTTTTTATTTTTGTGAATTAATAGATATAGGCAGAGAGAAATCCATAGACAATCTCAGAGTAGAAAAAGTCAAACCATGAAACCAAAACTTTTTTTATAAAAAGTTTACTAGAGTCTGGAAAAACTTCCTATAAAAATATTCTAGACTACTTAGTTGCTTTGTAGCTACAATGTTTCCCCCCAAACACTGGTGATCTCCCATAAAATGCTGCAGGAACCGGCCGTGTGTGGGAAAGGCTGCAGGAACCGGCTGTGTGTGGGAAAGGCTGCAGGAACCAGCTGTGTGTGGGGAAGGCTGCAGAACTGGCTCTGTGGGAAAGCCTAGTGACATGAGGTCTGCTGTGGCATGCAGAGCTTTAGTTAGCTCAAAAGAAGACTCGCATAGCTGTAATGAGGCTGCAGCACAGATCCTGACTGGCTCCTAATATCCTGACTCCCTTCAGACTTTTGGGAACTGTGTTACAAGTTGTAGCTGGGCCTCCTGGCCTCTTAGCCCCAGGGAGCTTGACACCGTCACCTGGCTCAGTTCTGTATGTGGGATGTGAGAAGAGCAGCTTCATGTTCTTGGCCTTACAAGGAAGCTGCTCATCCTCCACTTACTCACTTGCCCCGGGCACAGGTGCTCACCTAGCTTTGGCCATGCAGACAAGGGCATGGCCCTAGGATGTGGGAGGACAAGATAGAAGGGTCTCCTGCCAGCTTCCCAGGACTGCCCACCGGTTCAGACATCTTGTGAAAGAGGGACATGCTATCTTTCTGAAGCTGGGGTTGTTTGATTCTAGTAAAAACAGCTGATTGGATACAGGCCTAAGAGGAGTACGGATTAAAAACAAAAACCTTCCTAGAAGGCGCAGGAAGGAGCAACTCGTTAGTTTTATGAGATGCCTTTAGAAGTCACTGTTCTTAGGGGCAGAGTGCAGATGGGTGAGAGGATGCCCGGGTTGTGGGTGCCCCTACCTCTCTAACGGCCGACTCACTCACGGTGCCTGGCCCGATCTCCGTGTTCAGGTAGAGGAGGGCGTACAGGTACCCAGCCCGGCCATAGAGCAGCTCGTCCGGAAGGTCCGAATCTTGGCAGACAATGGATCTCTGGAGCTGCAAAAGTCTACCCAACAAGAAAGGGCCTCTGTTCCCCGAGAAGGTCTAGGATACCTCCCCGAAACTGTAAGTAACCCCGTTCCTTTAGGAACTGCCTGGTATTTATTTTCAATTTAAATGGTTTAAAAAATATATCAAAAAACAGAAAAGAAAACCTTGTCCGTTTCACTCATTTCTCTCTCAGATAGCACAATGAGTAACACAACACTGTTATGGTCAAAATGTCTACCATGCATCTACCCTAAGCCACGTAAGAGAAGACACGCAATTCTGAAACCCGGAACTAGAAGTGACTTCAACTCTCAACGAAAATGGAAGCAAAATGTAGCCAACGCTCGGGAACTAGCCCGAGCTGCCTGTCACTCAATAAACAGGAACAGACCAGCATGAGCTGGAGGCCACAGCCGCAGTCGTGAGCGCGGACTTCTTCTCCAGAGAAGAACAGAGGCCAGTAGATGCACACACAGGCTCTCTAACTGTCCCATCGCAACTGAACCTGAGAGCAACGACCACAGTAAGTCTGAGGCATGCAAGCTGCTTTCCATGCACTGAAGGCAGCCAAAAATTACCCCAGAAAAATGATCAAAGCAACACCAAGAAACATGCGTGTGCTCCGCCCCCCTTCTCTCCTCCCCGAGTTAAGGCCAGGAGAGCTGGGTAGAAAGCGAGCACATGATCCCACACCCTGCTAGGAATTCACACACAAACTTCACTTCTCGGAGAGATCTGTAGCAGCAGATGAACTGAAAAATGTCTTCTTTTTCATTATCATTTGACAGCAGGACCTTGCCCTGAGAGCCTGGAGAAGAGACTTCAATGTTAAGCGCTCACTTCGCGATGCACTCCTGGGACTCGCCATCACTTCTGAGTTTGTGGTACACCACCGCGCCCACGGCCAGCGGCCCAGCGTCTCCGCAGAGGAAAGTGACCCTGCGGCCATTCAGGTTCCGAAGGGTCCTCTTGACGTAATCCAGGGACCGCAGCAGGTGCGTCTGGTCACACGTCACCCGGTACAACTGCAGGTACAGCAGGGCTATGCCTGGAAAAGTCCCCAAGAGGAGCATCAGTCCGTTCCCTTTCGCCTTTTGGACATGATTTTACATTTAGGTGAAAACCTACAGAAAACCTGTATTTCTGAAGGGCAACAGGAGAGACTTGAAAAAAAACTCAGGGTAGAAAAAAGGTAGCACAAACACTGACCCTGGGGCAAGTGTGCTCTGATCACACATTTTTGTAGACGCCGTATGTGAGGGCAAATAATGTCATCGACATGCGGCAGACGACATATCAGGCTCCAACTGCAAGGCAGAATTTTTTAGAAATAAAATTCCAAAGCATCTCCTCTAGGAAGACAGTTCAAAACTTCACGTAAAGGGTAGAGAACTTTACCATTTTACAAGAGAAAGGAGTTTTAAACCCAAGTCTTACATATCACAATCTAAGAATTGGACACACTAGGCAGGCACCCCCTTCTCACCTGTCCAGCCCGTATACGCAGAGCAGTCATGTGGGTCCGCGGTCCTCAGCCCTTCTTCCATCTGCTGCAGCAGATCTTTGATTTTGGTCTGGACCCGCCTTGCGAATGTGTGAATGATCTGAGAACCAAAAGACATCAGTATAAATGGCACAAGAACAGGACAACGCTGTAATAACTACTCTAACAGGCTAAGTCGTAAGAACGTTAACAGGCAGAAATTACACTTGCCTGGCCCATTTTAATGCTTCATTGGTTGGAGAGTGTACCTTAGTTTTTTTAAGGTAAGTTTTTAAATGCGATAATGCCCTACACAGACTACAAGTCTTAAATAGGATTACACAAAATAAGTTGCAGAAGCAAAGGAACAAAACCATTGAAAAGTGGTGGATTTGATTACACAAATATTTTAACTTCTGCAAGTGAAAGAAAATAAGATGGTTTAAAAGTTAATGACAAAAATTTGCAGACACAAACAGTATGGTGGGTACCAGAGGGGGTGAGGGGGTGGGGAGGTAGAAGAGGGTAAAGGGGTGATAAATGGTGATGGAAGGAGACTTCACTTTGGCTGGTGAACACACAGTACAATGTATGAGGTATTATGGACGTATACACATGAAACCTATATAATTTTATTAACTAATGTTGCGCCAATAAACTTAAGTCAGAAAGTTAATGACAAGGGAGAAATACTTATAAATAAAAAGAAAACTACAATACAGAAATATACCTAAAATTATCAATGCACCTCATAAAAAAAGTCAAGTGACAGGCATATGCAAAAATGGTCAATCACTTTAGCAATCAATGCAGTGCAAATAAGTACAAATGTTATGGTGTGTCTATCCTATATAATAAAAGGCTAATATGCAAATCAACTAAACGGCGGAATGACCGGGCGCTATAATGCCCAATGACCACCAGGGGGCAGACACTCATTGCAGGAGCTGCCCTCTGGTGGTCAGAGCACTCCCACATGGGAAGCGCTGCTCAGTCAGAAACTGGGCTCACAGCTGGCGAGGGCTCCCAGACTGGAAAGGGTGCAGGCCAGGCTGAGGGATCCCTCGACAGTGCACGAATTTCACACACCGGGCCTCTAGTCAGATGATAATAAAATATTTAAAAAGTATTACGTACCAACACTGTTAACAGCTAAGGAAGGAGGTATTCTCACCCACTGCCCGCAGTCTTCCTCAAGGGAAACTTAGCAACGTTCTTACACGTGCAGTTGTTCAGATGTTTCTGTCTTTGACGATTTTTAAAAAACTTAGTTGCTATGCCAACTGCGGAGGTGCATTACAATCCCTGATGGCAGACGTGTCTATCGTCTATTTCTTCCTTTAATTCTGCACTTTTTATTTATTTTTTTGCTTTTGTGTATTTTGTAGTCTGTTATTAGGTACAGGCAAATGTACAATTGTCCTCCTCACAAACTGACTTGCTATCATAATGAAATGTCCTTCTGTGGACCCAGAGAGAAAGGGCGTTTATGCAATTGAAAAGGAAAAGGAATTCATGGCCCCAGGTAAGTAAGAAGTCCAAGGAAGAAAAAGAAAAACAGAAAGTGATGTTATGTTCCTGCACATTGGGTGCTTTCAGGGCAAATTTTCCTGAAATTTGTGGGTGTGGAGTCAAAGCAAACCCTAGAAATTAAGTGACCAGAGTGTAAGGGGAGAGAACACCATAGGTTTACTTAACCCGGGAGGCACCTGCTAGTTTACACCTTAAACAGGTGCAAGGCCCTGGAACTGAATGCGAGCAGATTTCTCTTTTTCACAGAAAGGCTCATGTACCTTCCAACACTGAGAGCAAGACCGGGGAGGACACCTTCCCCGAGGGGAGGGCACTGGCCTCTCCCCTGCACAGAAAGACCTGCCTTCACTCAGGACATTTCCTACCAGGGGAACAAGCTCTGGGCGGAGGCGTCCTGGTGAGGGCTCAGGCACATCCTCCTGGGAGACACCATTCCACCCATAACGTCCTTGTTTTCATGAAATTCCATGTCTTTCAAGCCAAATGCATACTTCTGGGATTATCGATCTTCATTACAGTTTTAACATAATATTTTAACGATAAAAATGTAATGATCAGCCAACCATAAAGTATCTGTATAGAAGATAGTGGAACTTAATCCATCTTCATTTTATCTTGTGACTTTTCCCCCTTTTTGCTGGGGTCCGACCACAGCAGGTCCAGGGGTCCCCAAAGGTGTGGATGGAGTTGGCGAAGAAGGAATGACACAGAGACAGCGTTCAGTTAGTTGATCAGGAGCCTAGCCAGGATCTCTAGCCAAGTTCTCGTCAGGATCTCCAGCCAGGTTCTGTGTCCATGTTCTCTTGCTAGGTTCTCAATCCAGGTTCAGTCACCAGGTTCTAGTTAGGTTATCAACTACCCGCCTGGCACTTAGTTAAGGAGTTTCATCGCCTCCCTGACTTCAGGGAAAAATCCCTACCTGGGGAAACAACCTTTCTCAGAGAGGTGACCTTGGTTAAAACACAGCGCCAAAAAGGTGAGTAAACATATTAAGAACAGTACGCCATATATGCCAGGTACCTTGAAACATATGCTGTGCAGATGTTTCTTCCCTGTAGCGACTGCAGCAAGGATGGACCGGCTCCCAGCACCTTTTAACATCACACCCCCGCCCCCTCCCCTTCATGCCCAAGCACACAATTCCCACGCCCCTCTCCTTCCGGGAGCGCTCACCACCCGGTCCCCAGGTCCCCACCCTGACAGCGTCACCATCTCTAACCGCACAGAGAGAACACAAGCCGCAGGAGGTATTTGTGCTTTGACAGGAGTCCGTTTGCACATGCAGGAGTGAGCAAAGGTAGGTTACAGCTGTCCACATAGAAGAATATGTAATGCAATGAGAACAATACAAGAAAAAACATTGCTCTGTGAACTCACAGCTGTCAACCCGCTGTTGCCCGCTCCTGTAGTTGGGGTGAAAATCACATTCACTGCATGCCAAGGGTAAAAAGGGGGAAAAAGCATTTTCACAGTCAGCGTGCATCGCA